TGGCTGACTCAATGATGCACAGTGAACTAACTGCTGCCACTCATTATCATACCAGAAGTCAAGAGCTTAATGCAATTACTGGTGGCAATATTGTGCGCAAAAATTTTTGTCGTTCCCCACTAACTAAAACAGACGAAGTTGATAAAAGTAGTTTAACTGAGGAAAAAAATGATCAGCTTCTTACGTCAGAGAACCTCTTAAGTAAAAATGATTTTAGTTTTTCTTTGATGAACACTCCTAAAAAAATCTGGAGTAAGGAAGAAACAAGTTCTTTAAATTTATTATTTCCTGATAATAAATCTCAAAATATATCGTATAACCAAGTAAAATCAATGCTTGCCAAATCTCCTTCAATTAACAGTTCACCTAGACAAGTTTATGACAAGCTGAAAAGAATGAAAAGAAAGTATCTGGAAGATATGCCAGAAGAATCAAAGGTTTTTTTCTTTTAATTTTTATTGGTTCGGTTTTAAGTCTTTTTTTCTTTTTTTTTCTTCTAAATTTTGCTTCGTAACTTCTCAAAATAATTATAATCTTATATATTGTTTAAATTTAATTTTTTTTCATACTAGGTCAAGAAAAATTTGCAGTTTGAACGCAAAACTTGGTCTTCTGAACAGATAAATGAGTTAAAAGTTAATGGAAAAGAATTAATTTTGGGAGGACCTTTATCACGAAGCCGAATTTTAAGTGTTCTAAAAAACTCTAAATTATTAAAAGATTTCACCATCACACAGTTGAGAACACGAATTAATCATGAACGAAATTAAACTTAGCTGTTTCTTGACTATAACTTATAAATAAACAGTTATTATTTTTTTATTTTTAAGTATTTAAATAAACATTCCAGCTTTGTTATTTCTTATATTAGGTTCCTTTTTTCAATATTAAGCTTAACTTTTATGATTACTAACGTGTGGCTTGGGAATGTTTCCATAAGGCCATTTCCTTATTTAAATACACCACTATGGAGAAATAGTTGAATCAGTTTTTACAACCAGATGTCTTTCATGGCATTAACCTGTTATGATGATCAGGACTAAGTATTTTTAATGTGATACACTAGGTATATTATCATACAAGGTTTGCAAGTTCCTCCAACTTTTCCCCACAAATAAATCAAGGGGTTTTATATCATAGCTTTCTTTGTCCTAGAAAAGTTGTCTTTGCCACAGTTAAAGAGCTTTACCTGCCATAATCAAGTATCAGTTTAACTTCATTACCAGAACAAGGATTGATTCATATATATTAAATGTTATCTTGCTTACATTCAATCACTAACAATATGATAAAATTTGAAAAAGTAGTTTTTACAAAAATGGGCAGAATTTTTAAATCATCATAAATAGAGACAATTTAAACTTAGATTAAGGTTTATTACTCTGTTAATTTGAAACTAATGACAAATTCTCTTAAATTATTTCAATCGAAAAAGATAATTTTCTAAAAAAAAGGAACACATGATAAAAGTGAATAAGAATGATTATTATGAATATGAATAAGGACTTTTTATGATGTCACTAACAAAAATTAAACCTAAAATATAATAGCACTGTTATTTTTACCTTTTTTATTATGACTGATAATAATTATTAATTTAATACTGATTAAGATTTTATAAAAACAAATTAAAAATCTAAGGAGAGCTCTTAAATTCAGTGTTATCCCTTGGACATCTTTTTAACACACATTTAAGATTAATTTTTAAATTAATCTTAAATGTGTTAATCTTAAATCTTTTAAATTAAATTTTAAATAACTACAAGCAATCTCTCACAGTAAATGACAATACAGTTACAGTTGCAGACAACGTCTTACAGTCTTACAGTTAATGACAACCAATAGAGTAAAGTTTTTACTGTCAATTGAAAACAACGTTTAAAATGCCAACTCAATCTAGTTAGTGTGTAAAATAGTTGTATTTATTCATATTATATAATATAAACTATTGGTGCCACCAGTTAGTGCTAGTGAATATTTTAATATTGTTGTATTTCTATTACAACAAAATAATAAACTTAAATGATGTACTCTTTTTTTTTGCAGTTGAAACCAATGAAAGTTTCTTTCAGAAATTAATGGCAGTGAAGTGGTACCTACAGTTGCAGCTCAAAATAAGTAGGTTTGAAACTGTCTTTGTGTTGATTGTGTTCTTTCTTTTAATATTTTCTTTACTTGATAAAATTAGTAAACTTTGGCCAAATTTAATTAGTAATTTAGTAATTTGCCTTTCATTTTTGTTTTTCAGTTCTACTTATAGAGCAATACGTGGTATAGATACAAAGACGTGGTATTAAAAAATGCTACAGTTAAAAAAAATCGTTTTACGATTTTTTTGAGGTAATTGTGAGCCTAAGGCTGATGATAAATAGTACATCTGGCTCCGTATATATGTATACACACAAACACACACAAGCTATTTACAAATCGATATTTCTATATTTAGGGTAAACTTTAGGCAAAGAATGCGAGGAACTGTTAAACTGTTATGAACATATTATGCACTATACCATATCATGCACTACACGTGGCGCTCAGTTTACTCGACGATCCAACTTAACAGGATATTATCCATTTTTCTAATATATATACATAGATGCAAAGTATTCAAAATGATTATATTGTTATTTATATATTTAGGATACATTTAAACTAAAGACTATGAAGAGCTGTAAAACTGCTATTGGCAACAGTTGATAATACTAGACGCATGTGTTAGTAAGTAATTTGAATCTCTGGTTGGAATTCTTTTAAATGCTTTTATGCTTTTTACCCATTGTTGCTGTGGAAAAGCTCAATACCAAAGATTTAATAAAGGCAGAGTTAGGCAGGGTCGAAGGATATTTTTCGAACTAATAATCCATTGTAGTGAAAAACGAACTAGTTCAATCTTTTAAAAAAAAAAAGTTTTTTAGATCATAATCGTCTTTGAAGTAAAAAAGTAAACATGCCCAGTGGGCACAAGAAGCGTTTTAAACGTCTAAATCACGTATTAAAACGTTTTAATACATATTCTAGACGTTTAAAACACGTCTCGTGCCCATTGGGTGATTTGAAGTAAATTTCCATTTGTTTTATTTTTTTCAAGAAAAAAAATTTGAAACTAAATCTGTAGTTTTTTTTTTTTTTTTTAAAGCAACATTTAATTTTTCTTGCCGCCATTTGTGCTATAAATTGCTGACAACGTTATTTTATTGCATAAATATGTAACTCTAAACTTTCAAAATTCAATTAACACCATTACGTCCAAAGATATTGCGCAGCGAAGAGAGTTTGGTGCAGATTTTTCAAGTAAAATCATTCCTAGACAATGAAGCACATTTTTACATAGCTTTTAAATATTGATCGTCAAAATTGCAGTCGTTGAGGTCGTAGAACCCACAAAAAACGAATGCATTTTTAAGTGATTACTGTTTGACGCGCATTAACTTGACTGCATAATAAGTTAAAAATGCGTTATCTTCTTGTACCTTAAAAAGTTTAAAAAGATGTAAACTATTTTACAAATTTTAGGGAGGATAACTAAATGGTTTATCTCCTATGGAATTACAGTATCGGACAAAACAAGTGCAAAAAAATAATCCTTATTTAGTTTCTTTATATAAAAGTGCTTCATTTTTTCAATTTAGAGAAATAACTATGTAACTGTTTAGAGACAAAGTTCTTCAAGTTTTATTCATCACAAAGTTCACTATTTGTACACAAAAATTAATAAGTTAATCAAAAGTATTAAAAAAAGTTGATTTCCTTCTAGACAAAAATAAGTGCAACTCCGCAAAATGTTGACCATGCTGTATTTCGCTATCAATACTTCGTAGCGAATCCTTTGTTGTCGATCACTGCCTTGCATTTTCGAAGCATAGATTCGATCAGGTGATCAATAAAACTTTGTGGAATTGCTGCCCAGGCTTTTTGGATTTGTTCAAACAGTTGATCCTTAATACGAACACCTTCACAATTAATTCTGCGGTTGACAATCTCCCACAGGTTCTCAATAGGGTTGAGATCCGGAGATTGAGGCGACCAATCCATCACCGATAGGTGATTGTCTTGAAACCACTGCTTGACTACTTTTGCATATGTTTCGGATCGTTGTCTTGCTGAAAAACCCATTTTATTGCCATATTCCATTCAGCATGAGGTAACATAACATCTTTCAGGATATTTTTATACATGAAACGGTCCATTATTCCATAGATTCGATGTATAAGACCTAGACCGTTAGCAGAAAAACACCCCCAGACCATTGCATCGCCTCCACCATGCTTGACAGTCTTATGACAGTTTCGTAAATCGAGGCGTTTTCCGGCCGGTCGACGTACACGGCAAATGCCATCGCTCCCGATGATGTTGAACTTCGATTCATCACTGAACAGAACAGTTCGCCATTTCTGCACATTCCAGTCAATATGAGATGTAGCAAACAGGAGCCTTACTTCTGATTATTTAGTGAAATCAGCGGTTTTTTTGCAGGGCGTCGAGAAAACAATCCGGCTTCAACAGCACGTCGTCTGAATGTTTGGTCCAATACAGGCAGCTTTAATTGCTTTTGTATCTCGACTTATAAGATTCAGGGATCCTTCTTAACGGATCTGACGATCATAGAACCCTCTCTAGAAGTGGTGGAACTCGGTCTACCACCTTTGTTATCTGCTGCCAACTTCCCCGTAGAACGATATTTGGAACATAGCCTTGATACGGTCCATTTTTTAACGCGATATTTATCACAAATACTTTTTTGTGACATTCCACTTACGTAATTGCAAATAATTTTTTTTTCGTAGTTCCAATCTAAGACTGTCGGGAGCCATATTTGCACTTAAAGTCATAAAAATAATAAGAATAAATAATCACGCTTCTTAAGGCTTACCGTGATACATTTACCTTGTGATTATACAATGATGCTCTGTGGAACACAACGTCTTGGTTGGATGATAACTGTATTGATGTAACGAAACACTTGTTGTATTTCACTTCTTGTATTGATGTTTTTCGATAAAACACTTTGATAAAACTCACTTCGATGATAATACTGACTGATTGACTTCCATACACTGACTGAATTACATGTTGGTTTACATGTCTCTTACACAGTAAAATGAACCTGTGTAAACCTATTCTGGAAGATTCTAGATGCTTCTTTTTGATGCTTCTGGAAGCTTCTGGATGCGTCTGGATGCTTTTGAATGTTTCTGGATACTTCTGGATGCTTCCAGATGTTTCTTCTGGAAACTTCTGGAAGTCTGCATGCTTATGGAAACTTCTGGAAACTTCTGGATACTTCCTTTAATTATTAAAAAACTTCCGTGACGTTGACACGGACCAGACTTAAAAAAATGAAACAAACCAAAAAAGTTGCACTTGTTTTGTCCGCTGCAAAATGGCACTTGTCAACGAAATTCTGCCTGTGTGCTGTCACCTGTCAGCTGATTGCTCATGTCATGGCATGCTATGACTCCAGACTTCTGAACTGTTTGCTGTGGTAGTATAGTTCGTTCCGTTTTTAAGACATGTAAAATTAGTAACACCTTTTTAGAATTGTTCGATGTTGGTTGCAAATGTTTTGTCCAATACTGTATATCCTTTCAAGAGTTTAAAAAGCATTTATGCAGCAAAAGCTCATTTGGTATAACGGTATTACTAGTGACTTAGCACTAAAGTTTTATATCTTAAATTAAATTTAAAAATTGTTTTTGAAAAACATTTAGTTTGAAATGTGACCATGTTTGTTTACCTTTTGTGCTTAGACTATTGATTGTGTGCAGTATGTGGTTTTAGCGTAAAATGTTTTATAAGTTTAGGCAATAAAAGAGAATAAAAATTAAGCTAAAATCAACAAAATCATAATTTGTACCAATAAGAGCATTAAATATTAAATCCTAGCGGGCATGTTGTCCAAAAAAGATTTTTTTTAATAGTTCAAAGACTTCTTTTTGAATCAAACAACCACTCGGACCTGAGACGTCCACATGGTTATTTTAACTTTGGAACACAATACGTGAAAATAAAATTTTCACGTCTTGTGTTCCAAACTTAAGTATGTCTATTCCTATGTCAAATAAGGAGACCTTGCAATTAATTATAATGATGGAAGCCGGGGGAAAAAAATATTCAATAAACTTTGGCCTCCCAACCCAAACGTGAGGGCAGTTATGTAGTAAAATTTTTAAATTTACTATGTTATACTAAATTCAAATTCATCAACAGACTTTTAATTTTATTTGAAAATATTATAAATCACAAAAGTTATAACCATGCAAAATTTGCAATTACAACTTTTGTAATTTACAACATTTTCAAATAAAATTAAAAATCTGTTGATGAATTTATATTTAGTAGTAGGTAGTAGAGTTTAAAATTTTACTACATTGCTAAAATCACGTTTGGGCAGGGGGCAAAGTTTTAGGAGTGTGGTACCTACGTATAATTGCATTTAATCTAATGAGTTATTAAAAAATCTCCAAATTTCTTTTTTTAAAAAAAGCGTTAGGAGCTAATGAGGTTTTATGGAAACATACAGGGGTGGGACCGCAAAATGTGAACACTTTTCTGATTGTAATAATTAATTTTCTGTTAAATATGAACTATTTTAAATAAGAATGTCCAATGGTTGGACATTCTTATTTAAAATAGTTCATATTTAACAACTCTTTAGACACTTTCTGATGAGTGAGAGAGTACAACTACATCTAACGAGAAAATAGTTAAAGCATCTATTGATCAAGGAGTTTTTCCTGATTGATTAAAAATTGCCAAAATTATTCTAAGTTTTAAAGGTGACAGAGCTAATATCATTAATTACCGCTCATCTCCGTCCTTTCTACCTTCTCAAAAATTTTAGAAGATATTATGTACAATAGAATGTTCAATTATTTAAATAACAATAATCTATTATACAAAAACCAAAAAAAAATAACTCAACTGAACGTGCAATTATTCAGTTGTTACACAAAATCTCTAATTCTTTTAATAATTCTCAATTTACATTTGGCATTTTTATTGTTTTATCTAAAGCGTTGATACTGTAGATCACGATATATTGCTTCATAAAATTAAATATTGCATAATAAATAGAGAGCGCCAGAGTATATGGCACCCTAGGCGAATCTGACACACAGCGCCCTCCTCCCCAGTTTACTTGTACATAGGAATGCTTAAGTTATGTTATTATATTTTGTATATACATTCGGAAGGATATATTCATGCATAATCTTAAATAAACGTATATTCATGTAACTTTACAATATATTAATAAACAATTCCAAAACTTCACTTTTCGCGCTATTGTTTTTGCAAATGTAGAAACGAGTTCCGTCAGTTCAATGTTTCCAGTAATACCATGTTCACTTCACACAACAGAGTAGTTAATCCAACAAGTCTTTTTTGCTGCATTGAAGTTCTCACAAATGTTTTTATCAGTTTGAGTTTTGAGAAGCTTCGCTCACCGCTAGCCATGGAAACTGGAAGTGTCAAGAGGATTCTTAAAGGTACAGCAGTATTGGGGGCACAATCTGTCAGATTATTTTTAATATAAAATTTTGTAAATCTAGCAATGTATATATAGCAATGTACACCTTGCAAACGTGCCAAAATTTTCTATAAATGAGTAATAAAAAATTCGCATTGTATTAATTACTACAAAATTTCATTCTGCATAAAGTATAAAAAGAAAAAGAAATCACAATAAAAAAAAGTATCAAAGTTGATTCTTTTGTTTTATTTGACGCAATTTGACTTTAGCTTTATTTGAAACGATTTTAAAGAGTACTTTTTCAAATCTCCTAAATTTAATAGAGATTTGAAAAAGATTTTGGCAATGTTTTCAATATATTTATTTTTTATGTAGCAAGTTTTAGTGTCGCCCTAGAAAACTTTGCCGCCCAAGGCGGCCGCCTACTTCGCTTAGTGGTTAAACCTGTTTTATCAAATTGAAAACAAGTTGTCTATTATAATAATATATCTCACAAAAATTTGTTGAAATATCCTTTGGTGTTCTGTAATGTTCTATTCTCGGGCCACTTTTGTTTTTGATTTACGCAAATGACTTTTATAAAGCCCTAAATCTTTTAAGTCATGTTTGCAGATGATACCAATTTATTTCTCTTAAT